TACAGAAAGTCAATAGTGCTTCATTTAAGAAAACTGGCCTTCTGAAGACTTGCTGCAAGAGGTTGCATATCATAAATTCACCAAACACAATACAGGCAGTCTCGTTCTGCTGTGAGGGACGCCTATTTTGAAGAATGACACGTTACGGGGTTTTGCAGACCGGTGGTGATAATGGTTTTCCTTGCACGACAACGCTAAGCGAGCATAAACCATAGGAAAAGCAAACCATGAGGAAATGACTGGGAGGGAAACAATAAGATTCGGTAACAGTTATCACAACAATGGTAGCGAAAAAAAACGCGAAAGAATAATAGTAATTATTCTCGTATTTTTTACGACTTCTTTCTGCATACCAAACTGTCCATTTCGAACCATGCTCAGGGATCAGGTTCCTTTGGTTCAAAATTTGGTTTTAGAATATGACTTTAATCTTGCTATCTTCTGCTGCTGTATCTTGAGAATGGGCAAAATATAGCTGAGAGAGAGAGTAGTGTCATGCTTAGTAAAATTTATGTGCGGAATGATCCCATTAAAACAGCAGACAATGGATTTAATTTTTTGCATAAACGAAAATTGTTCAATTTTCAAATAACGGTAATGAGAAAGACCGAGAAAGAACAAAGTCGAAAGCCGTCGTCGTGCGTCGCTTCGCAGCTGTATGAACTGCGTCGAAGAAGACGGACGCGACCACTGGTGGTGACACAATTGTTCCTTTGTTTGCCACTTTTTCCGCTTTCCCTCAGGACCTAGTTGATCCTCGCCAACAAGCACTTTTGGAAACGTTTTGTCCGCGACGCTTGAATCGCGTCACTGCACTTCTTTTGCCTGTGGCTGTTCTTTCCTTAGCACGTGCCTGCAGTTTTTAGTCTGCTGGTAGAGGTTTGCTTTTAATCGCTCATTTTCCCCATGCTCGATGATTATCATCGGTCTGACCGGCTGTTTGTCTGCCACCGTGTGTCTGACGCTGACGCTGAGCTCGGCTGGGCTCGGCTCGGCTCGGCTCGGCTCGGCTCGGCTCGGCTCGGCTCGGCTCGGCTGGTCATTGCTGTCATTGCTGTCTCTTTCCAGCCGGTTTAGTGACCGTTACTTCAAATATGTGTTCAGTGATAGAAATCTCCAGATGATCAGTATCACTTTAACTACGTGATAAGAGCATAGCCGAAAATTAAGTACAATGGCACTACAGACGTTCAAGTTCCAGCGGCGCTTACGTAGCGCTTGAGTGACAAAACATCGACTAACAACCTTACGTACAATCGTCATGTTTTTCGTTGTCAGAAGACGTAAATCTTCACGTACAAAAGATTCACACCAATTACCATTCGTACGGTACTCTTTGGCTATAAAAGTGAACGCGACTGCAAGTCGTACTTCATTTGCAGAGCGGACTGCCACCTAAGACATTTAGTCAGTTCCGAACTACCTCAAAGTACCATGCGAAACTTTGTAGATGCCTGTATGCCATCACTGACCATCAGTGCGAGGCCAATAACTTTATGCCAATTAGCAAAGCTGATGTGACTCTCATCGCCATGCATTCCGCGTAGGTCACATCGATTGCAAACCGCCGGCAGCAGCAGTCACTGTCAATATAGTTCGATCCTTCGCCGTTGAACGAGCCCAGTGCATTTACATAAAGATTCGAACGGAATTGTACAGAAAATCTACCTTTCCGTTATGCCGTATGTTTTGGACGATAGAAGGATCAACCCTTGTCACAAAAACCGTCCTCCAATTTGCCCTTCGCTTGTTCGGTGTTGTCGTACGACATTGGAACTGATGTTTGATCGAAGGATCAGGAACAACGGTTGAACAGTGCTGCATTTGACGCAACAGTGAAGATTAAATAACAGAGCAACCTTAGGATTGAGTCTGTTCTCTCACTGGAACAGATGACCACAGTCGATGGGAAGTTGAAGGAAGTTTGCTGGAACAATTGGTTCAGCATGAACCTTCAAGCCGTGAGCTGATCAAGAGCGACAAAACATGTCTGACATCGGTCAGGGGTCAGTGTAAAATATGATGAAAATTTCGAGGCAGATCTGCTTTCATAGAATAACGATTTCTTAAGCGATGCAGCAGCCGATGCCTCGTAGCAAGGGTATCGAAATGCTAGGAATAAAATAAACATCATAAGCCAGAAACGTCCCGTTTGTACAAACGGTTGAAGGCAATAATCTCAACAAATATACGTACAAGCCGCTATAAAGTCAAAAGTAAGCTGCTAGATAATCCTCATTGAAGGGCCAGACCTGCCTGTACATAATCCGTTGCAATCATTTATAAAATGGTTCACTGGCCAGGGTACAAGTCTGAGCAACCCTAGGATTTTTCAAGTCTTAACCATTCCCACGACAATGCAAAGGAATCTTATTTTATTTTCATCTTCTAATATATCCATTAAGTGTTTTGAGGATGCTCCGTTTTCTTGACCCTAAGTCATTGTCTTCCCTTTCAAGTGTCAAATCAAGTTTATTGCTATTGTTATCCGGAAATACCTATCTCTCAACAACTCTCCAACTGACGATTCAAAACAGAAAATGGAAACGGCAGAATAAACAAGATCGAATACATGAATAAGGGACAATTCATGACAAATTCAATTGGACCAAATTTCTAAACACACCCGAACCCCTAAGGGTCCGGATGAGACTAGTAATTTTGAGACTCGACGGCATTTAAAATTTCACGATGCGTTCCGGATGGGATAATAAAATCATCAAAATTTCAATCCTTCCATTACCGTCCCGTTATATCTGGTTGTCTTTAGAAACAAGACTGCTCAGTCAGCAGATAATGGAAAAAGAGCAAATTAAATCACATTAAAATATAATGATACCGGATTGACCAGGCGAAAATGTACAGTGTAAAAAATTCTTTCTCACTTCACACTGGCAGCTCTGCTTCACCGCTCCTTCCCTTTTAAACGACTAGAAGGACCATTTAAGTGGGTCACAGCTCCACGGCATTTAAGCGCCTGTAGTGCACAGGACGAAAGACCGCGCATCAAACATGGGTTGAACAAAAGTATGTTCAACCAAAGAACATTGCCATGATCCGTAAGCGAACGAATGACAAAATAGAACCTCAATGTTCTGAGGGAGCTTTCGTTACCGCCTGATTGAGGGGCATAATGGCACTGCCCTCTTGTATCTAGACGCATAGAAAGACCATTTAAGCAGGCCACGGCTCCATGCTATTTAAAAACAAATTAAAATGCGTTATTTGCATTTTGTTGCAGTTACGAAAGGTGTACTACTCTTTGAGAAAATAAACACCCAGCAAAATCTGTCAAGATATATTCAAATGGCGTCATATTCATATTTTGCCTTTTACGAAGTAAGCTAATGACAGCTGGTTCCGTCTCTGCTCGTGTCTATCTGTTCTTTTAAGCATCATGCGATTCTTAAGTGAAAATATTTTACTTTCGCATAAAATGGCTCTCCACTGTGTAGTTTTGGTACCTCCATTGTGGAAAATGGTAGCCTCCGCAGTAGCAGATTTTATGAAAGTGTGAAACATAGGCTGTATATTGCTAAGCCACAACGAGAGCGGTAATGCCCAGTCATGAATCCTGAAACAGTTATCTAATGATGCTCCTATTAATGGAAAAAGTGAAATATTTATTTCTTTTAGTGCAACGAGACTGTTACATTCATAAAAAGATCCTACTTTTAAAACCCATCATTCTCACCTGTGTACTCAACTTCAACAGTTAAAAAATGATTGGTCCAGACTACTCTGTTATTCAACAATTGCTAGCTTCAGATAACGATGTCAAAAACACGGTGCCTTTTTGTTCTGTTGAACGAATTCGTAGATATGAGTTATGATTCAATTTTCTTATTAATTGCTACAGGAGACTCGTTAAAATCTTTTCGTACGTCATCTACTCTCAACCGAGGATAGTTACCACTGACAGATATAAGGCATGACCGATGCTGTATGGGCGATATCAAGCCGTGAAGAGAAGGTACGCATAGTGGCAATGACTTCGGTGCTCAAATAAGCCCAAATCAGAGACTTACTGCAAGTGCTTAAATACAATGAGGGGAGGAATGGCCTGTTTAAACGGTTACCATAGGCGATTAGAACCACGGCGGTGTGCGTTTATAATTCGTAAATCCTACATTAGTTATTGAAATGCAGTGTTTATCAACGGAATTGGAAAGCTGTCATTTCATTATGGCTGCCCAAACGTCGGGATTATGCAAGCATACTTTGACAATTAGTACGTAATATTTTTCAACATTTTTCAATTGGAATATAAATTCCTAAAAATCCAGAGAAAAAGCAGCGGTGTCAAAATTTATACTTTCACTGTCGTCATAGTACTGTACCAGGGCTGAAATTTGTCACCGTCGAAATATACCAAAAAG